CGGCTGGAGGGCGGGCGGAGGGAGGGAGGGGGCGTTCAAAGCCGAGCGGTAACCCGGGGCGGGCTCAGGTTACGCTGAGTCAGCGGGGGCGGCCCGGAGGAGGACCCGGCACGCCGGGGGCGGGACCCCCAGGGGGCACGGGAGGAGGATCGGGAACTAGGTGAGAGCTAACCCGGCTGGCGGTAGGGTCCGAGTCACTCTCTTGCTCCCCAACCTCGGAGGATGGCGTCGCCTGAGGCGCAGATTCCTCGAGGGCCAGGACGGCGACGGAAGGGCCCGGGGCTTCGGTTCCAGTCCCAGCTTGCCGGGTCTAGCGCGGGGGGCGGGGGGCACGTGCCCGGGGACTGACACCTTCACCACTCGCTGCGTGACCTGGGGCAGCTTGTTTAACGTCTCTGAGCCTCGGTTAATAAATGAGATAGTGTATGGGAAAAGTCGGGCTCTTGCGGGGCCCTTGGTAAGTGTGAATGGTGTGGAACCTTCTGGGGTAAACCTGCTTGCGTCAGTTTTCTTTCCTCTAAAGGAGGAGTTAAAAACGTGCTCTCCTCCTAGTCTCCTCAGGAACCATCAAAAAGGCAAATAGGCCAGAACAAATGTAATTGTTCTTTCCCGTCTTTGATGGGGCCTGAGTTCTTAAAGAGGCAGCACGGAAAAGTTTCCACCCCACAAAAGGGTGGAGGTTGGGGGAGGGTCCAGGGGCAGAAAATTGCACCTGACATTCCCCCTCCTCCGTTTCCTCAGTTGTGGAGAAGTGCATGGTGGTGGGGGTGGTGGGGTACCTGCTTAAGGTAAAGCAAGATCCCAACTAAATGGGGTAAATTCAGTTAGCTGGCTCAGGCAGGCAGCTCTCCAGTGACTTTACCCTAGGACATTCAAAGTGACTGCACTTACTTGTTTTCCCCCAAGAGCCATGTGCTAAAGAGGAGAAGTTACAGTGGTCTGAGCATCTCCCACTTAGATGTTCACCTGATTCCATCACTGCTGGAGAGACTGTCAAATCCTTTAGCCCAGTCCTGGGGCTTAACAAATGGAGAATGGAGGCCCAGGCACAAGGAGGGCTTTGCCCATGGCCTCCCACATCCAGAGTCTACTGGAGAGCCAGGCAGGGTCTGAGTTTCTGCTACTATTCTCCATCAGAATCACCTGGAAGGTTTGCTAAAACAGATTGCTAGGC